TGGCTAAGGGGAAAGGACCATACATCCCATAATATAAAATGAAAAATTTTTTGCCCTTATATTTTCTTAAGAACATTTTCAAACATACCACAAAGATGAGAGAATTGTACAGGGAACACATATTCCCATACCTACTTCCTACATTAATATCTTACCTTACTTGCTTTCTCATAGCTACCTCTCCTATCCATCCAATGACCCATTTTTTTTTTTTTTAATGCATTTCAAAACAGTAAGTTTGTCATCTGTCATTGGCACATTAGTCTCTGGGCACTTCAGTATGTTTAACGTGAACTGGGGTTCAATGAAGTTTACCTTTTTCTTTATCTTGAGGTAAAAGGTACATGCGATAAAATACACAAACCGTTGCAGGAGTTCTGACATGTACATATGCCTGGCAGCAAGTCCTCACTTACCATGGTCCCCACGGCCTTGGAAACTGGGACTTTAAAGGAAACGTTGTATAATGATACCAGTTTGACCCTCGGCTCATTAATATAATAAACGAGAGTGAAGTTCCTACAGCCTATTTCTGGTCACAAAAATATCCCCAAATTTCTAAATAAAGATAAAAATAATTTTCAATATTAAGCACTGAAATAAATGTGAGCGACACATACATTTAAGAAAAGGTCATGAAAACACATAAGACAATTATTTCCCAACCTGCTCACCCCAGTTCCGGGTCACAGGTGGCCAGAGCCTCTCCTGGAGGCTCAGGACACCAGGTGGAACCCATCCTTGGACAGCGTGCCTTTCCATGTCAGGGTCACACACACACACACTCACCCAGACAGGGACAACTTAGACACATCGATTCACCCGGCATGCGCCTCTTTGGGATACGGGAGGAAACAGAGTCCCCAGACCATGCAGCCATGTGAAAAACATTCAGACTCTATCCAGACAGTAGCCCTGACCAGGACGCGATCTTTTTTTTTCTCTTTAATCTCATCAACATTTTAACAAAACAACATTATTTGAGGACCTTCTGTATAACCCCTTTCAAGATAAGGAACATTCTGGGGTGAAGATGTAATTCACTCCAACACCTTCCCAGTCACTCTCCACCTGCCCGCTCCACAGGCTCCCATTCCTCTGATTTATCCCCATTATAAACTGGTTCTTCCTGTCCCCAAACTTCATCTATTAGGAGTCACAAGAATATAATCTTTGGGGAAGCCTTTCACACAGCATTTCACTTCTGGGCCCCGTCCGTGTTGTAGCTGGTATCAGCTGTCTCTTTCTCTTTATTGCTCAGGGAGTGACAGTCTTTGATATGAACATATCACAATGTGCGTACCCACTCTCTCGCTGACGAACACCGGACAATGACTACAATTGGAACTGAAGGGTCAGGGAATAGGTGTCTGTTTAGTTCTATAAGAAACTGTCGGCTTCTTTGCGAGGTGGACAATCCCTTTTATATAAACGTCGCGTGAGCGTTCCAGCTGCGCCCAACCTCACCAACATCTGTCGCTGTCAGTCCTCTTCACTTCAGCCTTGCAGGCGGGCTTGCGGGGGGCCTCTCACTGGGGTGTCCCTGCCTTCCTGCGGGGTCCTTGACCATTTTCAGAATTCCACTTTGATTCCCGGAGAGTGCTTTTTAGTGTAGCTCTGTCTGCGGCTTTTTGCGTGGCTGCTCTGAATATGGCAATATACACGCACAACTTATCAAAATCTACCGGGGCGATGTCTGAACAATTTGAGTGAAACGCAGAAGCCGTTGCATCCCCGGATCCCCTCCCATTTACAACAGGATTGTTTTATCTTTCCCCTGCGTACGTGGAGAGCCACGGAGACATTTCCGAAATGCCTCCACATGCAGGACACCTGCTGGGAAAGCGATTCCCTCCCGGCCACACTCCTGTGTGAGAAGAGAGGCAGAAATGAAAGCAGGGGGTGAAACACCTCTCCGCTGCTTCTACGCTTTTCTGGCAAACATGGCCTGGCAAACATGGCGAGGGGTGTGTTTCCTCCCGAGGCATCTGTCGTTAGATCCCCAAGTCTAGTCCCGAACTTCATGAGCATCAAATAAGGCGCCTATCCCGCTGCCTTGGCTCCCGCGGACACATGCGGTCCTCCCGGGAGGAGGTGGCCCGGAGAACTGCTCCTTGCAGCTCAGCCTACAGTCCGCGCCTCCAGCTGCCCCTAGGATTTGGTAAGGCACCTAATACGGGCCACGTCCTTTCCTGTTTATATTCACGCGTTCTCGCAGGTGTACAAGAACTCCAGTAGAGTCCCACTGCTAATTATCACAGAGCTGGGATCAAAACCCAGATCCATTCTTTCTTCCACACCAAGCCTCCCTCTGCACTAAGTTCTTCAAAGGAGGAGCTGCAAGTCCATGTTCTGCTTTAAGAACATGTGTGAGAACAAAATGTTTGCATTTCTTTGTCATTCCCTCTGCCTGGGATGCCCTCCACACCCTCTGACTCCCTGTGGCTCTTCCACTCACCCTGCAGTGCAGGCCAGTTCAGGCGCCACCGCTGGACCATGCACATCTGGGGGCCGACAGTGGGTCTTCCCCATCAGCAAGGTGGTACAGCAGCCCGCTCTGGGGCCCATGCCACTCACTACCTTGGATGTGCTAAGCAACCCCTCCCTGCCTCAGTTTCTCTTTCTGTAAAACTTGAGTAATAATGGGAACTGCAGCCCTAACCGGTTTGGCTCAGTGGATAGAGTGGCGGCCTGCAGACTGAAGGGTCCCAGGTTCGATTCTGGTCAAGGGCATGTACCTCGGTTGTGGGCACATCCCCAGTGGGGGGTGTGCAGGAGGCAGCTGATCAATGTTTCCCTCTCATCTATGTTTCTAACTCTCTATCCCTCTTCCTTCCTCTCTGTTAAAAAAAAAAAAAAATCAGTAAAATATATTTTAAAAAATAATAATAATGGGAACTACATTTCACAGGGCAGTTCCAAGAAGTCAAAGAGGTGATAAAATCAAAGCATTTGGAGGAATGCTTGGCACGTAATAACCACTTAGTAAACACTAGGTCATAGAGAAGACCCAGCATAGCAGACACGGAATTCAGTCTGCGTTTACCGAATCCAAATTGCAGTTTTTGGATTGAATTCTGTGCCTTAACTTTTTCTGAGCTCAGGAGTCTGCCACACCCACTCTTCTCCACAGCCCAGCAAAAAGCCGGGATCCAGTCCCCAACAGGGACATTATTTAGATGGAAGAAGATTTTCCGCAGCCGTTCTGGTCTTCAGAGCTCGCCAAGAAACAAAGGAAAAGCAATATAAATGTTAATGGGAAATTGCCTATTGGCTTTCACTTAGGCCGATCTGGTACAGCACAGCAAAGAGGGAATGAAGACAGCTGAAGGGACGGGAAAACATGGGACCTGACAGGCTGAATCCCAGGGGGCCTCTGTTCCCAGGAGGAAATGCAATTCCACGCCCACAAGGCTACATGGAAATCAGCACACAGGGTTTCCCCCTGGGATGTCTCCATGGTTACTGCCCTGGCCCCCGCTTTCCTGGGCACCCATCAGCCAGTCCTCCGGGGTGCAGGCCATAAGAATGTTAGGTACAAAGAGCAGAGAACTACACTGGGGTAGGCTGAGTAATGCCTACCAAAGATGCCCATGTGCTAATTCCTCCAATTTGTGAATGTTTTATTAAGGGCAAACGAGACGTGGTAGGTATGACTAAAGGCGCTGAGACAGGGAGATTATCTTGGACGATGATCTGGCTGAGCCCAATGTAATCACAAGACCCTTCTAAGAGAGACACAGGACGAGTTAACATCAGAGGAAGAGTCAGTGTGATGAAGGAAGCAGAGATTGAAGCGATGCCCTTTGCACATAAAGGAAGAGGCCAGAAGCCAAGGAATATAGGCAACCAGCTGAAGCTGGAAAAAAAGCAAGGAAATGAATTCTGCTCGCGGAGCCTCAGGAAGGAGCCAGCCCTGCGGACACCCTGATCCCAGCACAGAGAGACTGACATTGGACTTCTGACCTCGACAAGTGCAAACAAATACTTCTGCCTTTGTTTAAGCAGCTAAGTTCGTGGTAATTGGTTATAACAGCAACAAGAAACTAATACACATTGGTTGTTTGAGGTGCACCTTCAAGAATGTTGGATAAGAATGCCAGAAAAATGAAATTGACTGAGGAGGCAGTGGAATCGTGAAAGAGTGTGTGCACCAGGCCAAGTTCCCATTTTATCCTCAACATAGGCAGCTGCTGTGGGACATTAGGCAGAGGGATGGTGGAATAAGACTGTCCCTATAAAGCACTGAATGATCAGATCCTTAGATCTTAAATCCTAGGAATTACCACATGTCTAATTTCCCATTTTATGGACTCTCATTTCTTTTATCACAGGCTATGATGACTTTATGAAAAGAAGGATAAACCTACTGGGGTAGGTTAAGTCTGTTTCCAGCCCTCCACATTCCAGGCTAATGTTTTCCAAGATGCATCATCTGTATTTGCAGAGCTGTTAGCAGGCACAAGTATGCCTGTGTGGAAAGCTGTACTGTGCTAGAAATTGGGAGTTTACGCCCACCCCACCCCCCAAATCCTGGCCAGATGATTGCTGTATTCCTAAAAGGGTCACACTCAAATGAACGCTCATCCCCACCCCACCTCACCTCCAAGAAGGGTTAGGCAACCTACACTCACTGAGCACTCACTCCGAGCCCAAAGCTCTGAACAGTCCCTTGTTGAGACCCCTAACGGTCCTCAGAGGAAGAACCCTTCCAGACAGAACTCTAGGTCCTAGGGGGACTCCGAGTCTGGAGGGACCCAACCCCATTCCCTGATCACAGCTGCCTCAAGGCACAGGGGCCCATCAGGGAAACCTGGGCAGAGGAGATAAGCTACCACCTATGCGCCCAGACGGCTGCCCAGTCTCTGTCCACACAGAAAGGCCTTTAAATATCGAATTGCCCCAGCCTCCAGGTCCCTGCCCTTCCTACCCGCCACACACATCACATCCCGTGCCCCCTGCCCCCCATGCCTCCTCTCTGGCCAGCTCTGCCCTTTGCCCACTGTCACTTGCTGCCAAAGGAACCGCTTAGTGGCATTTAAGCAGCCCTGGATCTGAGCAAGTCCTGTTTGCTCTGGCACAGCCACCAGACCCCTGAGGCCACTAGCCAGGCACTGCAGAGGTTCCAGGGCAGTGCCTTGGCTGTGCCAAAGCAGGGGACCTGCAGGAAGGGGTGCTCAGTGGCCTGAAGAACTGGTTTCAGAAACCACTAGGCCTCTCTGGGCCTCAGGGAAAACAGCCGATTGCTGCCTTCCCATCATCACTCAGCTCCCTCCCAAATGGGACCTCCCACAGGTTGGCATCATGCACCTGACACTCCCCCACGGCCACAGGGGGCGCTGTGGTACTGAAACACCAAACTGCCTGAAGACCTGGGATGCATGTGGAGTTGTCAATTTGGGGCTATATTTTTATTTTTTTTGGTTAATCCTCACCCAAGGATATTTTTCCATTAAATTTAGGGCTATTTTAAACAGCACTGCTAATGAACCACTCCCACAGGTCTCACTCTCCCCTTTTCTTTGGGAGTCTGTATTCGGGGACAGCACATTCCTAAAACTAGAATCACGGAGTTAAAGGGTAAGATGTACAACAGGCAGCTGACTCCCGCAACACAGAGCCAACCGCCATTAACTGAACAGAGGCTTTCTGTGGTTTCTCTTCAGCATCACACAATGTTCAGTCAGCCCCACTGCACAGATGAGAAGAGTGATGTCATGTCAACCACAGCGACTCGGCCAAGGCAAGACGGTGACTTTGAGACACGGCAGGAAAAGAATCTAAGACCCGGTCTCTCCCAGTTCTGGTATATCTGCTGGATTGCTCTGATCTTTGAGTTACCCCATCCACAGCAACAGCTTTTTTTATTAAATACTAGAGGCCCGGTGCACAGATTCATGCACCAGGGGGGTCCCTCAGCCTGGCCTGCAGGGATCAGGCCGAAACTGGCTCTCGGACATCCCCCAAGGGGTCCCGGATTGCGGGAGGGCGGTTCTCGGGTGACACCCCCCAGAATCAGACTCCCTCCTCTCTGGTTCCGGGTGTGTCACCTGAGAGCTGAAGCTGCCAAGTCACCACAGCTCGGCAGCTCCTACGTTGAGCATCTGACCCCTGGTGGTCATTGCACGTCATAGCTACCAGTCGGACAGTCTGATGGTTGCTTAGGCTTTTATATACATAGGTAAATGAAAATGCCCTAGCTGGGTTTGGCCCAGTGGATAGAGCATAGGCCTGCGGCTGAAGGGTCCCGGGTTCAATTCTGGTCAAGGGTGTGTACCTCATTGCAGGCTCAATCGCTACCCCCGATGTGTCTCTCTCACATCAATGTTTCTTTCTCTCTGTCTCTCCTCCTCCCTTCCACTCTCTCTAAAAATCAATGGAGAAATATCCTTGGGTGAGGATTAACAAAAAAAAATAAAGATAATTATAGGCCAGGTTCTGGACCGGGCATTTTATCCCACATCCATCCAAGTCAGCGAGACACCCACAGCGAGGATGCTGCCGCTGACAAAGCCAGTGCCCACCTGCCCCTGAATGCTTCACACACGCCAGCCACTGAGCAAAGTGCTTTACATTCCTGTATTAACTCTAGATGTCTATGCAGCGGGCATCAAGACGCCCAGTTCATAGATGAAAGGAATGAAGCTCATAAAACTGACTTCCCCCAAGAGCTCCAAGGATCACAAATGGAAAATGCGTCCATCAATAAATGGACTTGAACACAGGGCTGCCTCCAGAACCTAAGCATCTCACTGCAGCACTAGGCTGCCCCTGATTCTAACAAAGCCCGGTGGGCGGCGGGGAGGGGCTTTCTAAAGAAGACAGTGAGGAAATCAGCATTCCCCGTGGGTCCGCCTTCCCGGCTCTGTGCTGGCGGGGTGCAGCTGGAGCGGTGCTGCGTTTATCTCCGCGGCGTCGGACGGGCTGCATACAAATGCACGCCTTTCTCTTCTGAGGGCTGCTTCCCATCACAGCAAATGTGGATCACAGGATCAGCCGCATCCCAGCACGATCCCTCCTGGAGGAAGGCTCAGAGGGGCCCTCTCATCGCAGCCTGGGAAGGAAGGGACGGCTCCCTCTCAGGGGCACCCTGCGCAGTGCAAAGAGGCGAGCCAACTAGAAAGCAGAATCGGTCCAGAAAAGGAGAAGTCCCAGCCCTGCCAACAGCTCAGTGTGTGACCTGGGAAAGCCAGTCTCAGCCTCGCCATGGCGGATACATTACTAAACAAATAACTTGATGCGACTTCAGACGCCCCCCCTGGAGGAGGCAAGGGGGAGCCTAGTAAAGACTGCGTAGCTTTAAAGGGAGGAAATGATTCAGCAAAACAAGTCGAGATAGCCAGGTCCCAGGTTTTTGCACAACTAACCTACCACCTTGTCCTTTTCCTGGCCATGCGCCTGGGACTGGACTGCCTTCCCTGGCCCAAGGCAGCTACCACCTCAGATGCTTCCGGCCCCCACACCAGCCCGCCTGCCGGGACTCCTGCAGACTCACAGAGGTCTGAGAGAGCAAGCATGACCTCCATCACCCGTAAGAACGCTGTCATCTCCCAGAATCCCGAACAGGCTCACCAGCCCGTCCAGCTGAATGATGTCATGCCAAACAGAGAAATGGGGCCCTGGCTGGCTTGGCTCAGTAGATAGAGCATCGGCCTGTGAACTGAAGGGCTGAGGGTTCGATTCCGGTCAAGGGCACGTACCTCGGTTGCAGGAATGATCCCTGGCCCCAGTCTGGGCTCATGCAGGAGGCAACCGATCAATGTGTCTCTCTCACATCGAGGTTTCCCTCCTCTGTCTGTCTCTTCCATCCCTTCTGCTCTCTATAAAAATCAATGGAAACGTATCCTTGGCTGAGGATTAACAAAAAAAAGCAATGGGAGGGAAAAGGGGGAAAGGCCACCCCATGTGCCACTTCCCTTCCTCAAAGTCCTGACACCGACTGCTGTGCCTGCTCTGGGCCATCCTTCTGCCAAGTGCTAAAGAGGGACCTCCTGGGAGCACCCCTGCCCTCTGCACAAGCACCCCACCGCTTTGCTGCATGATCACCGGGGAAATACAGGAGTGCCCAGGTGAGGAGGAAGAGCACCCAGCACCTTATCCGGAATTCAGGCAGCCGAGCGGGGCTGCCGGAGACTTATTTCACTGTCACTCAGAAAGCACGTCTCCTGGTGTTCCCACTGGAAACGGTTCCAGGGTTCCTCCTACTGGGGTCCAGGGCCACGTTCACAGTGCACAGCGGAGGTTTTCCAGGCGCACGGGAGGCCAGGCACCCGTGCATCACCCCCCTTCCTTTCTCCAACTGCTCTGGCTTCCCAGCCAAACTCACTCCCTGCTCCCAGTTCTTTGGAATCAAAAGAACGTTTCTTAAAAAAATCAAGCTGTTTTGGGAATAAAAGTGTCGATTCATAAATTCCCCACTTGGCCTTGTCTACCTGCAAACACACAGAAGAGTATGGGGAAGTAAAAGAAGAGGATTTTGTTTCTCTTTTTAGTTTCCAGATGGGACTGCTGCCCACTGGCCACCCACACACCCAAGGGGCTGATGTTGCTAGCGTGACTTTAGTAGTGCCTGCAGACCTGGGGACCAGCGCCCCCACAGCACAGAGGGCATCGGAGAAAGACAGATGGAAACCAGGAAACCAGCATGTACTTGGCTCTGGGACGGTCTGCAGAACCACCAAGCAGAGACCAATCAAATGCACAGGTGTGCACACCTGCCAGCGGGCCTGAGTGGGCCTCAGAGGGGCTGAGCGGGTCTTAGCAGGACAGAGCAGGTCCTAGAGCAGCAGTTCTCAACCTTCTGGCCCTTTAAATACGGTTCCTCATGTTGTGACCCAACCATAAAATTATTTTCATTGCTACTTCATAACTGTCATGTTGCTACTGTTATGAATCGTCATGTAAATATCTGACATGCAGGATGGTCTTAGGCGACCCCTGTGAAAGGGTCGTTCGACCGCCAAAGGGGTCGCGACCCACAGGTTGAGAACCGCTGCTCTAGAGGGACTGAGCGGGTCCGAGAGGGGCACAGACGCTGGACCAGGCTCATGAAACCTGAGGTGCTCAGAAGGATGGAGCCCCACATGTGGCCCCACTAGGACCCTCAGCATAAACTCCTGTGGTCATTTGCTAGGATGAACCAAGCACATGGTCTGCAGGAGGAAAAATGCTTTCAGCTGAGCCTGGCGCCGTCTCGTGAACAGCTTGCACAGGTCGAAGAGAAGATGCTGACCCCAGTGGACCTGCCATTGGCAAGGGAAACTAATTGTTATTACTGTGTGCCCGGCAGCGAGTCCGTCTCCTGGCAGTGAGTCTGTCTACCGGAAGTAGCGCCACGGATGGTGGTGGTGCTGGTTAATGTGTGTGCAAAGACCTGACAGAGGCTCCAGCCTGAACCTGCCTTACCTGGCCTCGCCAGGTCTCCCCACCATGTGCCACACACTGTCCCCTCAACATGACATCACCTGCCTTCCGGTGAACTGCTCTCTTCAGGTGAATGTCACGGTATGAGGCTGCTAGGGCTGCCATAAAGTTCCACAGTTTGCATGGCTTGAGCAATGGAAATGTATGTTCTCATGGTGCTACAGGCTGAAAGTCCAAGACCAAGGTGTCAGCAGGGATGGTTTCTTCTTTTTTTAAATATACTAGAGACCGGTGCACGAATTCATGCATGGGTGGGGTCTGGCCTGCCCACCCCAATAGGGGCCCATGGGGCTGGGCGGGCAGGGGGAGGGGCCTTGGGCAGTTGGCTGGCCCCAACCCCAATCCGGCCTGGATCAGGCTGGTTGGCTGCCACAGTGCGTGTTATAGTCAGGGGTCGAACAGGTTGTCCCACTGTTCCGGTCGCTGGGCTTTTATATATATAGATTTTTAGTGATTTCAGAGAAGAAGGGAGAGGGAGAGAGAGATAGAAACATCAATGATGAGAGAATCATTGATCAGCTGCCTCCTGCACATCCCACACTGGGGATCGAGCCCACAACCCAGGCATGTGCCCTGACTGGAATCAAACTGTGACCTCCTGGTTCATAGGTTGGTGCTCAACCACTGGGCCACACCGGCTGGGTGGGTTTGTTTCTTCTGAACCCTTTGTCCTTGGTGTAAAGATGGCCATCGTGTGTGTGTGTGTGTGTGTGT